TATATATATATATATATATATATATATATATATATAACGCGCTCTTATTTGTTGATTTTTATTGTGGCTACCTTCCTAAACCGTAAACGCTAAACCCTAAACCCTAAACCCTAATTCATGCGTATATATATTTATGCGTATCTCCCGCATTTTAATAATTACTTTAAAACTAAAAACATCAAAACTTTCTCCTTCCTCAAGGGAAAGGAGCCGACCCAGCAGCAAATGAGGCGCCTGCTGCAGCAGCAGCAGCAGCTGCTGCTGCTGCTGCTAAGTTTCTAGCCAGGCGAGAGGGTCTTGTATAGGTTTATTATTAGTGAGGCCCCCGCTACTGTTTTCTATCGTTTGCTGTTGTGGCAGCTGCATCGGAGGGGTTACGCTTGCAGATTTGCTGTTGTTGCTGTTGGTGTTGCTGCTGCTGCTGTTGCTGCTGCTGCTGCTGCTGCTGCGGCGCAGCAACTGCATGGCGTTGCTGAGTGATCGCTGAAGTTTCTTTACAGTTAGTGGTTGAGGCTTTGAGGGTTCTGCCTTGTCTTCTTCTTTTGCTGCTGCTGCTGCTGCTGCTGCCTGTGCATCGGCCGTCTCTTTATTCTTTCTGTCTCCTTTCTGCTGCTCTTCATTTGCTCTGCATGCAGACAAAGAAGAGACAAAATCTTTGTTATGCTGCGGATCGCTAATACCTGTTGAGGGGCCCTCTGCTGTCTCCCCTATAGTGTATATTGCTGGTGCTGGTGCTGGTGCTGCTGCTGCTGCTGCTGCTGCTGCTGCTGCTGGGGCTGGTGCTTCTGAGGAAGCAACAGCAGCCTCGCCACCACCGACACTGCTGCCCCTGCTGCTGCTGTTGCTGGAGGTGCTGCTGTTGCTGCTTCTGTTACTCCTGTTGCTGCTGTTGCCTCCACCACTGCTGCTACTGCTGCTGCTGGTGCAACTGCTGCTGCTGCTGCTGCTGGATAGAGGTAGGGGCTGCTGCCTCGTTGCAGCAGCAGCAGCAGCAGCAGGAGCTGGATTTGATGGCTGCGCATTAAATGTCTCTCTTGCTGTTTTATTCATTAGGCGAGACAGCAGCTTGCGGGGGCCCCCCCACCCCCTCTCACGCGGAGACACAATCTGCTGCTGCTGCTGCTGCTGCTGCTGCTGCAGCTGCTGCAGTTTTTGCAGAGGGAGAGGAGGCACAAAGGGAGTAGAAGAGGCCTTCACGGGGATAGGGCCCCTTGGGGAATAGTAGGTGCTTCCATCTTGCACCTGCTGCTGCTGCTGCTGCTGCTGCTGCTGCTGCTGCTGTAGCTGCTGCTGCTGCTGCTGCTGCTCCTGGGCTAGTGCTGCAGCTAAGCTAGTTTTATTATTATTTTCTTGTCTGTGTATGAGCCTCCTAAAAGTAAGCAAACCACTGAAAGGAATATTCTGATGCCGCGGAGAAGCCAGAGGTACGTTGCTGCTGCTGCTGCTGCTGCTGCTGTCTGCTGCTGCTGCTGAGGAAGGAGACGGTCTCTGCACGTGTCCCTGTCTCGCCCCTAACTCTGCAAATGCTGACTCTGCATATTTTATTTTATATTTAATCAGCTGACACTGCAGCTGCTGCTGCTCCGACAGTGCTGCCTCCAGCTGCTGCTGCTGCTGCTGCTGCAGCGCGCGCTGCAGCAGCAAACAAACAAACAAGCAAAAAGGGGCACTCTACGCTCAGCAGCAGTAGCAGCAACACAAACAGCAGCAGCAGCAACACCATAAGCAGCAACAGCTGCAGCAACACAACAGGCACATAACACAATCAGCAGCAACAAGAGCAGCAACAGCAGCAGCAGCACATAACCAGCCCCAGCAGCAGCATAACATTAAGAACAGCAACAACAGCAGCAGCAACAGCAGCAGCGCCACAAAAGCAGCAGCAGCAGCAACCGCAGCACAACATAACCTGCAACATGAGCAGCAGCAGCAGCAGCAGCAGCGGGAGGAGCAGCAGCAGAAGACCGCACCTGTTTGCTGCAGAGATCCTTGAGCTGCTGCATTTCTTTTGTTGCGTTGTTTGTTTGCTGCTGCTGATAAAACAGCTTTGCTGCTATCTCTTCTTTCTCTGCTCTCAAAGCCCTCGTCTGCTGCCGCTCCCTCTCCAGCTCCTCTGCCTGCACACCGCAAACCCTAAACCCTAAACCCTAAACCCTAAGCCTTAAACCCTAAACCCTAAACCCTAAACCCTAAACCCTAAACCCTAAACCCTAAACCCTAAACCAAAAACCCTAAACCCTAAACGCTAGGAACAGTTGGAAGTCAATCCTGAAACCCTCCACACCCTAACCCTCAAACCCTAAACCCTGCCCCCCAAACCCTAAACCCTAAACCCTAAACCCTAAACCCTCAGGGGATTGTCTGTTGACTGACGAGTAGTTTGTCTGTATTTTCATTTCGATTTGCTGCTGCTGCTCTTAGTTCTGCTTCTGTTAATTGCTGCTTGGTGGTGCTGAGTGCAGCAGATAGGCATGCAATCTGCTGCAGCAAGCTGTCTCTTTCTTCTTTTGCTGCTAGAAGCTCCTTTTGCTGCTGCTGCGCAACCGCGTTGTGCTGCAGCTGCATACGCTCCCGCAGCAGCAGATGCTGCTGCTGCTGCTGCTGTTGCTGCTGCAGCAGCAGCAACACCCCACGCGTTAAATCCTTTGCTTTCTCTTGCAGAGCAGCAACTTCTCCTTCAGCAGCAGCAAGACAAAACTTTAACATATCTACTAATTCTGCTGGGGTGTATGCTGAGCTAGAGCCCTTCAATCCCTCTTGCTGCATCGGTGCAGCAGCAGCAGCAGCAGCAGCAGCATCACCGCCTCCTCCCTCCCCTCCGGCAGCTGCAGCAG